CCAACAAAGACACTCCCACTGGCACACATCCTTAAGAAAAGAAGATCTTCCTTAGGCTTGCTTGCCCCCACCATCTCCACTAATAGGCTTTAGCTAAGACGAAAAAATCTGTAGTCCATGGTACATCAGCACACCATCAAACACAGAGTGAAACTCACAGACTCAAAGGTGTCTTCCCCAGAGCTGTTTATACCTTGTGATACTCTTAGCCCCCCAAATCTGGCCACTCTGACATGTAATTTAGTGTCCATCTAATGTAAGTCACTCATACTGGATGAGAATTCTAGTCTTAATACAGACCCTTAGGTTACCTGATTCCAGATGAGTTTGGGAACAGAGATACTTTGGGTATTCTGGGATAAGACAGTATGTATCTATGATGCAGAGTCAAAGAGACAGGAGAGGAATATCTGTGGATTGTCACCTCACTACTTAGCTTTGGCCCATGATTGCTGCCTATAGAAACAGCTCTGGACACAGGATTGGTCCACTGTTGGAAGCAAGACCAAGTTGGTGGATTTTCTTGATCCATCAACAACGAACTTGTTCATTTAGACTTTATGTACTCATTTTTAAAATTTGGTTGCTTTTTCATGTGAGAGATCCAGGACGGGGTATTCAACAGACAAGGGATACAATACTAGCAATGATAAATTTCTCATTGTTTCTGTTCTCTTGTGGATCCAAATTTGGTTCTTAAAAGTTACCTTTTCATACTCTACTGTTTTATGAATATGCCTCTGAGTATAAAGATTTTTTTTTAATAAAACTTGCAATTTCCTGTTTTAACAGTAGTACAAACATCCTTTGTTCTCCCACTTCCCTCTTTAGGACTGACTTCTCCCATCCTTTGCATAGCCCACTCCCTGGGAGATAGACCATTGTGGTCAGAGCTATTGCTGAGGAAGCTCTTGCTCTAACTTAGATAAGAGCAGAACAGCATCTATCTCTGCCACTCCCTCCGTTTTCTGATTGTGAGTAATGAGACTCCAAGTGCTGAGGCACAGAAAATCTCATCTCCAATCCACACATTCATTTCCAGGCTTTCTGGCAATGAGCAATCTTCTGACCTTTCCCTAGAGGCCTCTGGTCTCTAGCCAGTGCTTGACCTGAATATGTTTCTCCAGATTAGGCAATGACCTTCTCATCCACAAAGCTGAATGCTTTTGTGAAGATGAATTTTTCAAGTTCCTTTGGAATCTGGGCTGTTTCTCAGAAAATATTTTCATGAAAGTCCCCTGCTGTTGTTGGGGCAGGCTTTAATTTCTAGTTTACTAGGGGAGGCTCCGGGCAAGGCTTGCTAGAGATGCAAAGCTAAAAAGAATTGCAAACTATTAGTATTCCTCTGCCCTAAACCCAGGTCATAAGCAGGTTTTCTTAATCAAATACCTCCTAGAGAGGAGTTCCAAGACTATTGATTCTAAACAATCCCAGCAATCTTTCCCACAGAATGAGAGGCAGACACTCTACCCCATCTCACCTTCCCCACAAAGCTATCAAACACACAGGTAGCCTGTCATCTTTGGTGACTCAGGAGGCAAAGTTAGTGAAGGATATCCTTCACCAACTAGGCAATGACCTTCTCATCCACAAATTCTGATCCTTTGTGACACTAGGATCTCCCTGACAGAAACCTGATCCTGAGAAGGGGCTTAAAAATTCAGCTATAAAGAATGGTTTATTGTGAGAACAAGAAGTGTAATTCAGAAATTCTCCTGTTCCAAGTGACACTCTTAAACAAAAGGACAAAATGTATAATTTCTAAGATGTAGTCAAAAGTTGTTTCTGAGGATGAAGTTTTCAGGGAACACACTATATTGCTTCATGTAGTTGGCACAGTAAAGGGACCAATGATAATCAAAAGAACTACAATGAGGCTCCTCCATTTCCTTATCCTGTATCCTCCATTTCCTTATTCTATATTGGCCTGTATCTCTGCATGTGTGGGATTTGAAGGAAACTGTAGCATAAGGGAACAGTTTTGCTGCTCTTTCCCGCTTACCATGTGTTTCATTAAAATTTGTGTCCCAGAGCATAAATCTGAGTCCCCATTTAATGTTCTCTGTTTGGGGTCACTATTATGGAAGAAATTCTTTTATTATATACCACGGCCCAACTCTGTGTTCTGTCCAGGGCTTCCAATCCTGGAAGAACTGTACAAAGGAAATGAGAGAGATGCAGGAAAATGCAAGGTATATAGGGAAAGAACTATCTCAGGAGCTATTTATTATACAGATATGTTTAACTTTAGAAAAACCAGGATATCTCAATTCCAGTCCTTTACTTACATGACCATTAAAAACACTCCATGATTGTATACATATGTCAAAATATATGCCTTGCACCACCACGGTCATTCAATAAAGTTTTCTCCCCACTGAAAACAAGAAATACAAGAACAAAACAGTGTTCCTCTAAGAAGGAGATGAAGAAAGTCACAAATGGATGAAGTCAGAAGCTCCATTCACTAAGCTCATGGCTTCTCCTAGATTCAGAATGCTAAGTCCCCTTCCTACATCAGACTTGCTTCCTCCCTCCAGGCAAGTCCAGAACCAATTCTTTGTTCATCATAACCTACATAGAGAACTCCAAGAAATATGAGCTCCACACCCCACCAGAAAGTGAAATTGCATCTTACAAGGACTAACTTTCCTCAGCTAGAGATTTCTAAGCTGAGTTGGCCCTCCTGGGCTGTCAGATGGACAGTGAGAGTGGAGGACACTGAGAGGAGGGAGCTGCCCCACTCACAAAATCTCTGTTCTCATTTTTTTTTCCAAATAAGGATATGTACACACCTCCCAGGACTGTCATTGCCATGACAACGGCAGAAGTCTAGGGTGAGCAGGTTAGTGGAACAGCATGCTTTCTAAATTCTCCAACAAGGCCTGAGGCTGCAGTCACTCGTGAGATGGAAAAATTCATGTTGACAGTGCTCCTAAATGGCTTCCAAAAATCTTAAGGTATATGGTTTCTTTCTGGGGGAAAAAAATCAGAGGAGTCTCCATGGAGTCTCTCCTTGGGGAGCTGGTTTTGTTAGAGACGCAGGAATCTCTAAGACAAATAAGAGCAGGAACCTCTATAAAACTAGGGCACATAAACTATGTACATATTCCAGAGAATAAAGAAAAGTAGAAAATCAGGGAAAAAGCAATCCCCCATGGAAACAAAGAGGCACTGTAAAAAAACATATTCTCTATAATAACCGAGCTTTCTGACAGAGACTACTCAGAACAACTTGGATCTAGATTTTGAAGTTCAAGGGTAGACTCATCCGTTGGGGAAAAAAATCAAAAAATAGCTATTATTTACTACAGACTTGTTATTCTGTAATATGTGATTATTATACCATTTAATTCTTGTAAGAACCTTTATGAGGCAGATACTCCTCTTATCTCCAATTTTACGGAGAAAGAAACTGAGACTAGAAAAGTTAAGTAATGGTTCCAGGATACAACTATTGAGGGGCAGAGCAAGGATTCAAAGGAAGGTCATTCTGACTCTGGAGTTCCAGCTCTCAGCAATTCATTATCTCTCTGGTGTGGGAAAGGTCCCAGCTTCCCATAAGAATCATAAACAGATGGCTTCCTTGCAGTTTCTGGGCCTCCAAAGATAGTTGGCAACATAAGGAATATTTACTCTAGATGAATTTTTAAACTTTAGGGTACACTGGAGTCACATGGGTGGCTTGTTTGAACAGGCTGCTGAGAGTTTCTACTTGGTAAGTCCAATTTAGAGTTTCAGAATTTACATTTTTAACAAGTTCCTAGGTATTGCTGGTACTCCTGTTCTGGAAATTGTACTTTAAGAATCACTGTCTAGTCACTGTAAATTAAAGTTCTCTAAGCCTCAATGCCTTATCTTTCACTGTTAAGTCCCAGATCCTCTGAGGCCTTGATCCATAAACTATAATGTTATCTTTGGCAGCGATGTGCTTTGGGATTCCCTGAACACTTGAAGATAGAGAAATTGCATCTTACAGTTGTCCCTTGGTAACCATGGGGAATGGTTTCTAGACCCTCATGGACACCCAAATCTGCAGATATTTAAGTCCCTTATATAAAATAGTGAAGTATTTGCATATGACTTATTTACATCATCCTGTGTACTTTAAATCATCTCTAGATGACTTTGAATACCTTATACAATGTAAATGCTATGTAAACAGTTGTTATAGTATATTGTTTGGGAGGAATGACAAGAAAAATGTATCTGTACATGTCCAGTATAGATGCAATTTTTTTTCATATTTTTTTTTCATTGTAGTTGAATGTGGAACCTGAGGATATGGATGGCTGACTATATCTCCCACTCTAAAAGTAACTATTACCTTAAGTAAGTCTTGAGATCTCATGAAAGGTAGAAAGAGGACCCTAGAAAAACTAGCAGGAGATAGCAAAGCTGCTGGCTCATTGTGGCCAGACCAGCTCCCTGGCAGGCAGGGACCATCTTTTTATAACCTCACAGGATTCTCTCTAGGAACTAATCACAAGAGAGCATTCATTAAAACCTCTTCAGGGCATTCACATTCAGAATGTTAAAAAGAGTTGTAAAGAGAGTGACTAGCCCTTTAATACTCTTTGCAACTGAAAAGGAGGCTGTAGCTGTATTCTGTGCATTCCCTGTTTAGCTAATTTTCTTCCTCTGCTAAGTCTCATGAGAAGCTGAAAGAAAATAAGGGAGCCCATGATCCAGGTCTGCTCACACAAGAGGTAAGGCTGGAGAAAGGGGTCAGTAATCAGGATTAACCAGCTTAATGCCTGATGTATTCATCCAGCAGAAAACATCACCTGGTAATGCCTCCACTGATCCCTTCAGACTATGGCATCTTTATCCTAGGCTTTTACAGAGTGTAAAAATAAATCAACAGTTTAGTCATGAAGCAAAAGAATGAAAAGAGGAAAAAGCAACTTCAAGAAATACACATAAATGAGTACTGGAGCAAAAGGAGGCTCCACCCCCTTTATGCACATAGCCATAGCCCTCACGAGTACTGTCACAAGTATCCCTAGGAACAGACTAATGAGTGGCTGGCTGGTCATGGGAAGGGTGCAGGCACAAGTGTAAGGATGCCATTTGGAAGCAACCACACACTCACTATGAAGTACTAAGGACAAAAGAAACTTGACAGGTAGGCTGGGCCAAGTTTGGGGAACATTTTCCTTTTCTTTCGGCCACAACTAATACAACCTTTTTTATTTCATCTCCAGAGGGGCTGCCGAGGGATAAATGGACTAAATAGATGTCAGATCCAGACTACCTCAGAGGACCTGTATCAGGGCCTACAAATGAGAACTACTGAATTCTGGCTATCGAGTTATCAATAAGGCCATATCATAGATTGCACAAAAGTATTGCAGGAAAAAAAAAGGGGTAACAAGATTAAATATTTATTAATGTTATATGTCAAGTCCTATGTTCAGCCTTTTTTTCTCTTTTTGGTCTTCATGGCAAATAAATAAGATAGGTGCTATTCTTATTACAATCAATTTAAACAAAGGATAATTAAGAAAGTGTGAATTTAAGCAATTAGTTTATGCTCGCCCAGCAAGTAAGTTTGCAATTGGAATTCAACTCAGAACTGACACCAAATCGTACTCTTAATCTTTATGCCATATTCCATCCAAACAGTGCAGAACCTATTTTGAGTCCTGAAATCTGAAAGTACCAAAAGGACAGGATAGAAGGCAGAGGAAAAGCCTTTTAACTTCAATTGTTGATGCAGAAGCATGTTGAAAAGTATGGTTAGATCACCACTGAGTAAATGGAAGACTTCACCTGTAGCCAGCAAGGTTCATGAGGCCTGTGACTTCTGCGTCACCAGTAGGAAAGGTAAGCAATGGAGACCCATTCCCTACCTTCTGTCAAAAACATCCTTTTGAATCTGAAGGAGAGACCTAGGCCAGGTGTATGAAATGATCAATACACAGTTCCTATTTCCTATTTGCCTAGAAATATACACCAGCCAGCATCACCAATGAAAGGGAGAATGAATTCAAAATTAGTTCCTGCCTCAACAGGCTGACCTACAGTGCTCCTATGAGAAAAAAAAAATAATGCTGAAATGAAAGCAGGATAGCAAGGCATGATTTCATGTGGCTGCTTTGATTGAGTAGCTCTCACTTTTCCAGATGCCTCCATATCCTGTAACATTTGGTAGTCTCAAACTACTTTCTCCTACATCAATTCTTCACTTCAAATTGACATTGGGGTTGCAGATTTGTTCAATGAACTATTTTATGTTCTTCTCCTTGCCATCTGGCAGTGTTAGCTCTCTAATAAATTGCTTCAACTTATGCATTTTTTCTGACAAAACTTACTTTCAGTTGAATTGTGCAACATTCATAAATAGCAAATGCTGGCTGATTATAATCAATGAAAGCCCTTTCAGTTGCCAGTAAAAATAGTTCCTTAGCTGCACATGTTATTTAGCCTAATTATTTGAAAGGCACCTGATTATCTTTGGAAATAATTTTTTGCACATGCATTCTTATGTCATTTGTTATGTATGTATATATGTACATTTGTTATGTATGTATATATGTACATATGTTATGTGTACATATTTGAATTCGGATGGACTCTTGCAAGACAGCCATTTTATGAAGATAAATCCAAGTTATATACACTTGGATTTGGAGCTAGACAAATTTGGGTTTGAATCCTACCTCTGCTACTTATAAGCTGTGTGAATTTATATGTATATTTCATAACCTCTCTGCATCTCCAATGTTTTTTTTTAAATTAAAACAGATATAATAAGTTCCTTGCAAAATTGTCATGAGGAATAAATCAAACTAACATGTCATGTGCTTGGCACAGTGTCTAAGCATATTATGTTTTGATAATTAGTAACTACTATCATCATTGTGATGGTTTATTAATAGAAGATTATGGTAGACAAATTTAACAAGAAGAAACAGTATCTGTCTTGTTGCTGAAAACACAGGCTCTGGGGTTAGACTAACCCTGGTTTAATTCTGTCTTCATTACTTATTAATTCTGTCACCTTGGAGATATTACTTAAATCTACATGATCCTTGGTTTCCTCATTTGTAAGATGGGGGTAATAATAATTTTCATGAGAAATAAATGAATGTAATTCATACAAAAGTTTATCATTATGTTGGTCATAGAATAAATAATGAAAATTCACTACCATGATTAACTAGAGTATAATTATTAATTAGTTGGATAATTTAGTCTCTACCAACTGTAATCCTCCCTTTCTGAAAACAGTCATAGGGCTGGGCCTCCAAAGCCAATATATTATATGCCTCCAAAGCCATATTTCATATATATATATATATATATATATATATA